TAATTGACGATTATGAGTTCTAAAGAGTTCAAGCCTCTTTGTCTTTCATCTTCCACTTTTTATGCTTCAAATAGAGTCAAGGAGATTGAGGGAACATGACTTGCAAAAGGAGGTGGCTGAGACCCATATCTAGGCCAGCTCTTTTAACTCAACGTTTCTTAACCTTGGCAACATTAAGATGTGGGGACTTCAACTCCCGGAATTCCCCAGCATTTTTGGGCAACATTTTTGACTACTTGTAGATGTATACCTCTACTTCCTTGTTGTTAATTGTGAAGTCGTGTCTGACCCATCGCGACCCAATGGACAACGTTCCTCCAGGCCTTCCTGTCCTCTACCATCTTCTGGAGTCCATTTAAGCTCATGCCTACCGCTTCAGTCATGCTGTCCAGCCACCTCATTCTCTGTTGTCCCTTTCTTCTATTGCCCTTAATCTTTCCCAGCATTAGGCTCTTCTCCAGTAAGTCCTTCCTTCTCATTAGGTGGCCAAAGTATTTGAGTTTCAACTTCAGGATCTGGCCTTCTAAAGAGCAGTCAAGGTTGATCTCTTCTAGGACTGATCAGTTTCATCCCCTTGCAGTCCAGGGGACTCACAGGAGTCTTCTTCAGCATCATAGTTCAAAGGCCTCAATTCTTTGGTGCTCAGCCTTTCTTATGCTCCAGCTTGCACAGCCATACATTACAACTGGGAAAACCATGGCCTTGGCTATACGTACTTTTGTTGGCAGGGTGATGTCTCTGCTTTTTAGTATGCTGTCTAGTTTTGCCATAGCTTTCCTCCCCAGGAGCAAGCGTCTTTTAATTTCTTGGCTGCAGTCCCCATCTATGTTGATCTTGGAGCCCAGGAAGATAAAATCTGTCACCACCTCCATTTCTTCCCCATCTATTTGCCAGGAATTGAGAGGGATGGATGCCATGATCTTGGTTTTCTTAATGTTGAGTTTCAAGCCAACTTTTGCACTCTCCTTCACCCACATCAAGAGGCTCTTTAGCTACTTCCTACTTACCTTCATCTGCCTGATAGCACATCCTGATGGAGTACTGTACTGTACAGGTGCACAAAAATGCTGTCTAAGACGCACTGCCCTTTCCTGACATTTGACAGCCATTATGTCCCTCTGAGAAGACAGCTAATTCTCAACTTCTCACCACAATTGAGCCCAAAATTTCTGTTGTTAAGTGAGACATATCTTAAGTGAATTTTGCCCCATTTTAAGACCTCTCTTGCCGCAGTTGTTAAGTGAATCACTGCAATTGATAAGGCAGCAACCCGGTTGTGAAGCGAATCTGGCTTCTCCATTGACTTTGCTTGTCAGCAGGTTGCAAAAGGGGATGATCACATGGGGACACAGCGACGGTCATAAGTATGAACCAGTTGCCAAGCAGCTGAATTTTGATCACATGATCATGGGGATGCTGCCAAGGTCCTAACTGTGAAAAATGGTCATACGTCTCATTTTTCAGTGCTGTTTTAACTTTGAATGGTCACTAAATGAATTGTTGTAAGTTGAGGATTACCTGTAGAGAGAGGCCAGGCAAACATTCATCAATCATCAAAGAGAGAAGCAACCTAGAACTAAGGAGAAACTTCCTGACAGTTAGAACAATTAAGCAGTGGAACAACCTGCCTCTAGAAGCGGTGAATGCTCCAACACTGGAGGTTTTTAAGAAGAGACTGGACAGCCATTTGTCTGAGATGGTATAGGGTTTCCTGCCTGAGCAGGAGGTTGGACTAGATGACCTCCAAGGTCCCTTCCAACTGTATTATTATTATTATTATTATTATTATTAATAATAATAATAATAATAATAATTTTACTTTGTTTCCAGATTCTCTGCTGGAACCTACTTAACAAGAACTGGGGAGGGGAAACTGAGGTTGAGAAACCTGGAGGGCAGGGTGAGGCATTCCTACTAGCAGACCTGGTGTATATTTTTTGGCCAAAGAAAGAAACACCCACGCTGGCTGAGACACACACACACACACACATACATATGCATGAGGAGATGGAGGTCAGAGACGGGACAATGACATAACCCATCTGAGATTTTTCTGCCAAATCTGATTAATCTCCTAGACAGACGAATCCAGCCCTTCTCCCTCCAAGGATTTTTGCCATTAATAACCCAGAAGGTGGAAATTCCATTTGGCTGATCTGATTGCCTGAAATCCAGGAAGTCTACGAAGTCAACGAAGTGATGTCACTTTCTGTCCCCTTTGGTTAAGGGATAAGCCCTGGCATGTAAGAAAGTTTCTAGCAGCTGGTTTCTGTTGACGTATGATGGAGAGTGTGGCAAAGGCGGTCTTGAAGACCTTTAGCAGAAAGGGAAAGCTGTAGAAGGTCAGAAGGAAAAGCCAGTTGCAACAATAAGCCACACCTGTTGGATTTCAGTCTGCCATGTAAACATAGGAGCCTGGCTGGGGAAGGTGTGTGTGGGGGGGTGGGGGGGTGGGGGTTGGCAACCCAACCTTCTATTTTTGCCGTATTCATGAAGTGCCAAGTCCGTTCCTCCCACCTGGAGAATTTAGTTGTTCTCACCTGGACAGTCTAGTGGCACCAGGAACCTCAGCTTCACCTGCTGATATTTGCTTGGCTGCAGGACGATTAAGCAGGCGGGCATCTCCTCCTCCTTTGGGGCCAGGCCAAGAAGAGTAAGTGCTTGCCCCCCCCAGCTGCCCCCCCTCCCGCCAGTGCCTCCTCCCGTATACCCCATGGAGCTGGAATAAGACTCAGGAGTGGCAGCCCGCCCAGTTCTGTCAGCAGCTCCTCTTTCTTCAACTTCTGCAATTTCTGTGCAAATAGTAACCTGATGCCAAGACGTGCGGAGAGGCCAGTAACTGGCAGCTGGTAAGGCACAACGCGGTCCGGAGTTATTTGCCCACTCGCCATCTCTGATGGCCCCTGGATTCTTTCCTGCTGAGAGGGTATTTTTCCCCCCTTGCTAGTAAAAGTGGCACTTAAACTTTCCCTCATTTCACCATCGTCCAGGAAGCCCCAGGTATACAGAGCGATGTGTGACAACATAGTCCCCTTTCGCAGGAGGAGGAAGTGCCAGGATCTGAGTCTTGACACCATCCCTGGCAGGAGCATTCCTTCCTGGAAATACTTGGACCACAACAGTGGTAGAAGTTTCAGCTGGAGGCTCAGATTTGAGATGGCTCAAAATTCAAGATTGGAAGATCTAGTGCAGACATGTCAAACACAAGGCCCGGGGACTGGATGCGGCCCGCGGAGTGGTTTCATGTGGCCCGCGAAGCCATCCTGAAAACAGTGAGGGAACAGCCCTTGCTGCCTTGGCCCTAGCCCAGGCCGGCTGGGAGCCAATGTACAATTTTGGGGTGGCCATCTATGCTGAAACGCATTCAGTCTTAGCTCCACAAGGCCATCTAGAAACAGCAAGGGACTGGCCCCTGCCGCATTGGCCCCGCCCCCTGGGTGCATGCTGGGGAGGTGTCACCCTTTGTGAGGAATGAAGAAATGGACCATGCCTTGGTACTTGCCCTGGTCCCACCCCCTTCTGCCAGAGATCCTCAGATCTGTCCCACTCCTGCCCAGGCCCCCACAGGCACCCTTGACGTGAACAATGTAGAGCTGGCCTTGCCCACCCAGTAGGCCACACCCACTACATCCACGCCTACCCAGTAGGCTGCACCCACCCTGGCCACACCCACCCAGCCCCTCGAGGACAACCGCAATGTTGATGCGGCCCTCAATGAAATTGAGTTTGACACCCCTGATCTAGTGGATTGGGTGGCTTTAACAGTGAGCAGAAATCCAACAGGGTCCTCCCTGGCTGTGGCTGTGACAACAGGAAAAGCTTTGCCTGTGGGGTCCTTGGTGGCCACTAAGCTTGCTTGTTTTCTTGCAGACCAAATTTTGTTACCAAATTAGGTAACATCATCAGGACTGGTTGGGTAGGGGGTTTGCTCTCTCTGCCTCTTCCTACTAGTGCTTGATAATGTGACGTAGTTTGGTGATGAAATGTCTACAAGAAAACAACCAAGCTCAGAGGACATCAAAGACCCCAGAGTTCAACCCCGAGCTACAGATATGCTCTTCTAAAGCTTTGCCTGTCGGGTGCCACTCGGCGTGGATTGCAGCTAGGAATTATTTGTATTTTTTATTTATTTGTTTATTGAATTTATTTGCCACCCACCTCATAGCAAACAGTCTTAGGCGGAGAGTTGGTTCCACTGTGGAGTTAACACTGGAGGCTGATCTTCCACTCAGGACCCAATTCTGAGAAAGGAATCGGCTGCTTTGACAGGTAGTGAGCAACCTGACCATCCTCAGTCCATGATGGACAGGCTTGGCATCGTGCCAGTTTCACAGCCTTCCGAGGCAGCCATCAATTTCCCCTCCGCTTCCTCTTCTTATCCTTTTTCCAGTCTGCCCAATCTGTTGGCAGTTGTGGCTGAGGAATGCCCGCCATGATCTGTGGCAGCCCGGAAAGGGTGTCAGAAGCCTTGGCGGGGTGGAAATGGGTAGCCCCTTCTTCTCCCAGGCCATGTGTCTAGTCCAGTCTTTCTCAAACCTGGTGACTTTAAGATGTGTGGACTTCAACTCCCAGAATTCCCCAGGATGGGGAATTCTGGGGGTTGAAGTCCACACATCTTAAAGTGGCCAACTTTGAGATATGCTGGACTAGAGACATAAGGTAAGAAAAAAGGCAGTACGAAGGGCTAGGAATGGTTGCCCTGAGCATTTAGGTCTGGAGCATCCAAAGCCAGATCCTGCCTAAGAGAAAAAAATCTTGCTAAAGCAACCTGCAGCATCCTGTCTGTTTGACAGCTCATAGTTCTCTGGAGGTGAAAAAAAAAATCTGCCCTATGAGCTTCCAAACATTGTCGTGCATGCCTTTCCTTTCTTTCTCACCTGTCCAGGAAATTCAACAGCTTTCACTAGCAGCCCCACCCTTTCTCACACGCCTTTGCATCTCTACCGGCACCCCCCCTGCTTCTGTTTTAGGAGCTAGAAGGAAGAATGAGGCTATTTTACCCCCCTTTTCTGTTGTGGGAGTGTTTGCTACCAAGGGGAGGGACCAAGGGCTGGGAAATTTCAGAGGGGATAACACCTTGGGGACTGTCTATAAAGAGCTGACTCTTGGAAACTCATGTACCAACCACGAGCTGCCATCTCCGACAAAGGAGCGCCGGGTCTGAAGAGACGGGGAGGGAGGAAGAAGACAGAGAGGAGGAGAAAAGGCACCTGAGCATCTTTCACTCAGAAAAGTTTTTTTTTTTTTTGGAAAGAAGAGATACCTTCATCCACCATTAGGGGGTGACAGATAGGAGCTTGTCTTCCCAAGGGACTCAAAACGGTTGGCCAACTTTACTCGCAAGTTAGTCATGAATCCAGGTTTGGGTAAGTCTTCAGGATGGGCCATTCTGAGGCTGACAAATCTGTGGGGGTTGAGAATTCTTTGGGGAGCGGGTGGAAAACTTTGAGGACTGTTGTGACCCTGCTGTTTGGGATGGGCACACTTGGAATACTGCATCCAGTTTTGGTCACCATGATGTAAAAAAGATGTTGAGTCTCTAGAAAGAGTACAGAGAAGAGCAACAATAACAATAATAAGAGCCGAGGTGGCACAGCAGTTAAGAGTGCAGTACTGCAGGCCACTTTAGCTGACTGTGTTCAGCAGGTCAGTGGTTCAAATCTCACCGGCTCAAGGTTGACTCAGCCTTCCATCCTTCCGGGGTAGGTAAAATGAGGACCCAGATTGTTGGGGGCAATATAAATATATATATATATACATTGCTTACTGGTGTACACCGCTTAGAGAGTGCTTGCACTTAAAGTGGTATATAAGTCTCATAAATAAATAAATAAATAAACAAAGATGATCAGAGGACTGGAGGCTAAAACATAAGGAAAAGCTGCTGGAATTGGGTATATCTAGTCTAGTGAAGAGAAGAATGAGGGGGGACATGATAGCAGTGTTCCAATATCTCAGGGGCTGCCACAAAGAAGAGGGAGTCAAGCTATTTTCCAAAGCATCTGACAGGCAGGACAAGAAGCAATGGATGGAAACTAATCAAGGAGAGAAGCAACCTAGAACTAAGGAGAAACTTCCTGACAGTGAGAACAATTAACCAGTGGAACTACCTGCCTCCAGAATCGGTGAATGCTCCAACACTGAAAGTTTTTAAGAAGAGACTGAACAGCCATTTGTCTGAAATGGTATAGGGTTTCCTGCCTGAGCAGAGGGTTGGACCAGATGACCTCCAAGGTCCCTTCCAACTTTTTATTATTATTATTATTATTATGGATCTTTAAAGTCAGGGGTGCCTATTGCAATTTTTTTTTCTTGGATGAAGATGCTGAAAAAAGCCAGTTTTCAGTTGTATCTTTGTTACTTGAGGTGTAAATGCTGGAGACAATGTGAAGCATTTGAAAGTGGGCCTCCTGGGTGATTCCTCATAAGGATAAGCCTAAAACAATAAGCAAAAGCATTGACAATTTGCTGCTGCACATTAACAGTATTCGCCAACTTGTGGCCTCATGTGAATGAGATTGTTCCTTGTGAGGCAACATGGTTGGAGTCGACTAGCGAGAGTGGCTTTGCAACCATTTCAGTCTGGACCCATCTCTTCGTGTTTATGAGGGGGTCTCTTGTTGCAATCCCAAGAACATGATCAAGGAGAAGGAAGATCATGAAAGCTGCAAAGGGCATCAGTAGATTTGAGTGGAAGAGGAGGCTGAATTTTGAACGAGACTTGGGTTTCTGAAATCAGCATCATCGGAGCTTGGCGAAGGCCCCGGTTCCTTCAAAAGGATGATTCTCTTCTGGAGACCCTTGCCTTGATGGCTCCTCCATCCTTAAAATATATGAAGAACGGTTTCTAAAATATATGAAAAATGGTTGCAGGAATTGGGTATGTCTAGTCTAAAGAAGAGAAGGACGAGGGGGACATGATAGCTGTATTCCAATATCTCAGGGGCTGCCACAAAGAAGAGGGAGTCAAGCTATTCTCCAAAGCACCTGAAGGCAGGACAAGAAGCAACAGATGGAAATTAATCAAGAAGAGAACCAATCTAAAACTAAGGATGAATTTCCGGATGGTTAGAACAATTAATCAGTGGAACAACTTGCTTCCAGACATTGTGGGTGCTCCAACACTGGAGGTTTTCAATTCAGGCATTATTTGGACACAATTTGTCTGAAGTGGCATAGGGTTTCCTGTTTGAGCAAAGGGTTGGGCTAGTCCAGGGGTCCCCAACCTTGGCAAAGTTAAGACCTGTGGACTTCAACTCCCAGAATTCTGGAAAGCTGAAGTCTTCAGGTCTTAAAGTTGCCAAGATTGGGAATTCCTGGACTAGTTGATCTCCAAGGTCCCTTTCAACTCTGCTGTTCTGTTATTCCTTCTTTCTATTGTCACTGGTTCATTGGCCTTCTCTGAACACCTTCCTTGGTCTTGATGATCTCCTTCTGGGTAGTCATCAAGATGAGTCTTACCGAAGAGGGCAAACACAAGGGTGGCAATGGCTCATCCAGGAAAGGGAACCATATGAAGGTCCATCAAACCTGATGCGTTTTTTTTTCTCTTTTTTTTTTCCCCCAGTTACAAGCCTCTGCCTAATTTGCGCAAGCCTGGTCCATGCTGTCTCTCCTGAAAAGGATGGTCCTGTTAAGACTGTTATCCAGCAAACCTTCAACTTGGCTTCTCATCTGAAAGGCAATAGTTCCATCCTCCTTGAGACCTATGTAAGTTATTTATCCTGAAAGATCTGGAGATCTTGAGCAAGTTGTACAGATTTTGCATCGGGGCTCTGCAAACTTTTTGGGGGAATCTCAAACTTTCCTTGAAGTTGCTTCTGTTCTCAGGGTACCAAGAAAGACCACCCATCAGAACAAGGAAGCATTGCCTGGTGTTTAATAGGTGACATTCTCAATTTCTGCTAGGTCCAAGAGAGTAGAACAGTCCCCTTACCTGTAGGTACTAAGTGTGCCCACCGTGAATGTTATGGCGAATTCCCTGAGTTATATCCTGCAAAATTCCTTAATAAGAAAGATGAGAACATTTGAAAAGTCACTGTTCAGCAGTGATCATTAAACAAACGTTTTTAAAAAGACCATTCTCCCCCAGTCCCATTCTGCTGTAATAAAAGAGCAGCATTATGCAAATAAAATTTCCTATCATATATTTTTACTCCCTATTATTTTAATTTACTTATCCATTTATAAACCACTTCAAGTCAAGGCAATTCTAACGAGTGTTCAAAAGCAGTAACTGTAGGCAATACAATAAAATGCAATAATACGCTTTTTAAAAACACGGTGCATAATTTAGAAAGTTTAGAAAAATGCATGTTCCTGGCATCAGCCGGTTCTATGGCATCAAAAGTCCCAAAGGCCATCCAGTGCAGCAAAATTGGAGCTTCAGTAGGCCAGGAGACCTTTCTTATCATAAGGGCCAGATGTCCCTATGAAGAATGCCTGCTTTTGGACTCTTCCCATTGAAGCTCTTGATGGGAAAGGATCTTCAGTTGGCATTCTGTAGGCCCTCAGACCGAATAGACAGAATTCTAGAGGATGGTCTGAAAGATACCAAGACCATGAACCAGATGTAGCGTTATGGATGATAATCAGGCTCTTCACTTAAACTTGAAAACATCTTGGTGATTGCCTGGTTTTTGTAGCATGACCTAACAAGAGTGTCCAGTATGCAAATGGATCATTGCATTTTGCACCTATAGATTGATAGGTACTCTTCAAAGACAGCCCCATGTAAAGCAAATTGTGGTAATCTATATAGCAGCGGTGGCAAACCTATGGCACGTGTGCCAGAGGCGGCAGTCGGAGCCCTCTCTGTGGGCACACGTGCTGTTGCCCCAGCCTTGCCTCCCCCGACAACCCCCTGCTCACTAGCAGCCCCCCTGGAGGAGAGTCGCCTCCAAGTGTGGCCCACACAGAGCAGTGCAGCCAAGGACATGGCAGCCAGACAGAGTAGACAAGATTCTGCCCTCATGCCCCATCGTGCACAGTTGATGCTGCAGGGCACGGGCAGAGGTCATGACCACCATCGTGCTGCTGGGCTGCCTGGGCGATCTGCAGCGGGCCCTGGAGGTGGTGAGTGGCCCTGCAGGCAGGCATGGTGGGGGTGATGCAGAGGGTGGAGTGGGGGCAGTGTTAAGTTCTGGACCGGCAGGCCCAGGCTGCAGCGATTGGCCCGGGCAGACCATGTGGATGCCCGGGACAAGAAAGGCTGCTTCCAACCTTTGCAATGATTGGCCAGCAAGGTATTGTGCAGGGGGGCTATAAAAGGGGGCTGCACCATTTTAAAACCTGTTCTGTTGGTGTTGCAATAAAGGAGACTGTTGGAACTCATTGCTTCATCTCAATGCCTCTTTTCCTGAAACAGAACAGGCAGGGCCAGTTTTTGGCACTCGGTCTCTAAAAGGTTCGCCATCCACTGCTATATAGGAAATGACAAGTATGCCCCTATTCCAGATAAGGTCATAATTAATGTATTAGCTTAAGCTGACCAAAGGTCCTTCCAGCAGCAGTGCTGAGGCCACAAGGACCTTTGGGTACCAGGCCTCTTCTCCAAGGGTACGTTGAGAGTTCAGGATGGTATAATCCAGATTTAGCAGGTTTCTGAATAAATATCCACCTCGTCTTGCTTGGAATGACTCAAAATCTACCCATTCAGATCCTGACGGTCTCCAAATTTTGGATTAGGGCTTCTCCCACATCCTTCTTTTGAGCCAGGATGGAGATTTATAATTGGGTATAATCTGAAGACTCGTGATACCTCACTTCAAATTAGTAGTTGCTATTTCCCAGTGGTTGTTAAATAGGAGCGAGGAGACGAATGAACCCTGAGGAGCACTTAAATGGGTGACTTCTTCCTGACAACTAACTCAAACCTTTCACTTTGGAAGGATGGAACCATTGTGAAATGCCAGCTTTGAGACCCAGCCTTCATAGGTGGTCCAGGAGCACACTGTAATCAACAGTACCAAAAGCCACTTAGTAGACAAGGATGGTCATGAGTCTCCCATCTAAGCTAGTGCTTCTCAATCTTAGCAATTTAGGGTGTCTGCACTTCAGTTCTCAGAATTCCCCAACCAGGATGTTCCCTAGGCATCTTAAAATTGCTAAGTTTGAGGAACACTGATTTTAAGCTTTGTCACAAGTCATCCATGAGGCTAAGCAATATGTTTTCAATCCTGTGTCCAGATTGAGTAGTATAGGCTGTGCGTGTCTAGATAATCCATGTGTTGCAGTACTCAACTCTCATAACCTGCGCCCCTACCACTTTCCCCACCAAGGAGAAGGTGGATGCACTGTTTCTTCCATCTTTCTTTTTATCTAGCACAGTGGTTTTCAACCTTTTTAATGCTGTGACCCCCAACCGGTCGTAGGTCGAGGACTACTCAACCGGTCGTAAGTCGAGGACTACTCAACTGGTGCAGCACCGTTTGCAGAATGGGGCTTTTGGCGGGCTCAGCAGGGCAGAGACAGCCTGAACAATTCCTATTGGCTTTTGAAAGCCAATAGAATTAGACTCTATTCAAGAGAGTCTATTCTATTGGCTTTCAAAAGCCAATAGAATAAAAGGGAGTAGCACAGCTAAGGAAAAGGGGGAAAAAATGGCGGACTGCGTTGTTTGGTGACCCCCGTGAAATGGTTGTTAAACCCCAAATGGGGTCCCGACCCACAGGTTGAGAACCACTGATCTAGCATGCATTTTGATTGATAGCACAAGAAGCCGTTAGGTCAAAGTGTTCCAAAAAAAGCAACAATCCTTCTATAATTGCACAATATGTACATCTTTGTCAGGAAATAGCTGTAAGGAAGGGACTGAGCCAGTAGTGGTGGCGATCACGCAACTATTCATAACCTGTTGAACTACAATTTACACTACAATCCAGGGGACAGATAGAAATTATAGTTCAGCTGAAGTGGACTTCTGTAACCTTGGGTGTGAACATCAGTTCCTGTAACTTCTCCAACCTTGGGTGTGAACATCAGTTCCTGAAAATTTGGGAAATTGAAATTGCACCTCTGGAGGGTTTGTGTCTGACCACAGTGATGCCGAAATCACGAAACACATCTTGTAACATCACGAAGCAGGCGGCATTCTTTTGTAGTGGTGCCCAAATGTCACACAAAGGGGTAGACCTTGCATTGTAATATATGTTTTGTGCTCACCTACGTGCCCTTGGAGAAGGCTACTTCGGAGGGCCACCGGATTCCTTAGTTGCTTAAAAGCTGGTCACCAGCCAGCCCCTACCTCCTTCCAGAGTGTCAGTAGGAAATGCAGGACTGATCTTGCCCTATGCCAAAAAATACTATGGCTCGGGCAAAGTGCCCGTCTCCAGATGACAGAATCAAGCAAATGAATATGGTCCTTGACTTACAATCAGAGTTGAGCCCAAAATTTCTCTCGCTAAGGGGAGGCAGTTGTTAAGTACCTTTGGCCCCGTTTTATGTCCTTTCTTGCTACAGTTTGTTAAGTGAATCACTGCAGTTGTTAAGTTAGTAACCTGGTTGTTAAGTGAATCTGGCTTCCCTGTTGTCTTTGCTCGTCAGAAGGTTGCCAACGGTGAACACATGACCCCAGGGCACTGCAACCATCATAAATATGAGTCAGTTGCCAAGTGTCTTAATTTTGATCAAATGACCGTGGCGTTGCTACAAGGGTCATACGTGTGAAAACTTGCCATGTTACTTTTTTCAGCGCTGTTATAACATTGAACAGTTACAAGATGAGTGGTTGTAAGTCAAGGACTACTACCTGTAGGAGAACACCCTGTAGGGAAGGCAGAATCCCTGTACCATTGTGCCTTGGTAGAATCCAGAGCCAATTTGCTATTGCCATCAAATCCAGACGAGAAAAGCTGGTTATTAGCCTACTGTTCTTGTCAGTGTGTTTTGGCTCTGCAACACGATCGGGGGGGGGAGGGGGGAAGAAGAGAAACCCGTTCCCCTTCCAACCTGCCACCCGTTCGACTGGCATTATTTTCATCCCGCAGAGAGTGGCTGGGTGCCCAAGTATTTCCCATGCCTCACTCCTTCAAGTTGCCCAGGCCCCAGATGCCAGACGGAGTAGGTCATCTACAACCTAGAGCCAGGCAGACGGCCAAGATGCCTGCAGTGCCCATGAAAAGGATTGCTCAAGGAGGAACTGTGGTTGAGTGGTTTGGGAAACAAGTAGAGGTCTGTTTTGGGGGGGGGGGCTTCAGCCCTCCCTGCGAGGAATTCCTAAGGGATGAAGAGGCTGGGTTGGATGGATAGCCCCTCCCCAACGCTACTGAGAGGTGACAAAGCAAGCATCCACATCCTGTTAGCTCACTTACAATAGTTAAACTTTTGGAAATCCCATCTTAAAGTAGACTCACATGTCCAGGAAGGAAGGGTAGATTTTGATCATTTTCTCGGTAGCTTTCATAGACTTCAGTATATTAAGTGTTTCAGCCAATACAAAGTGAGCTTAAGGGCTCCTGGGGGTCTTTGAGTAGCCAACCAATTTGTATTGGCTTAGCTTCAACAAGGTGGAATCCTGGAATCATTTTTGTTGTTGTTAATTGCGAAGTCGTGTCCGACCCATCGCGACCCCATGGACAACGTTCCTCCAGGTCTTCCTGTCCTCTACCATCTTCTGGAGTCCATTTAAGCTCACACCTCCTGCTTCAGTGACTCCATCCAGCCATCTCATTCTCTGTCATCCCCTCCTTCTGTTGCCCTCGATCTTTCCCAGCATTAGGCCCTTCTCCAGTGAGTCCTTCCTTCTCATTAGGTGGCCAAAGTATTTGAGTTTCAACTTCAGGATCTGGCCTTCTAAAGAGCAGTCGGGGTTGATCTCTTCTAGGACTGACCGGTTTGAACGCCTTGCAGTCCAAGGGACTCGCACGAGTCTTCTCCAGCACCATAGTTCAAAGGCCTCAATTCTTTTGCACTCAGCCTTTCTTATGGTCCAACTTTCACAGCCATACATTGCAACTGGGAAAACCATGGCCTGGACTATACGCACTTTTGTTGGCAGGGTGATGTCTCTGCTTTTTAGTATGCTGTCTAGATTTGCCATAGCTTTCCTCCCCAGGAGCAAGCGTCTTTTAATTTCTTGGCTGCAGTCCCCATCTGAGGTGATCTTGGAGCCCAGAAAAATAAAATCTGTCACTACCTCCATTTCTTCCCCATCTATTTGCCAGGAATTAAGAGGGCCGGATGCCATGATTTTGGTTTTCTTAATGTTGAATTTCAAGCCAACTTTTGTTCTCTCCTTCTTCACCCGCATCAAGAAGCTCTTTAGTTCCTCTTCATAGAAACTGACAAAAGACCCCCCCCCAGAAGACACCCCCAAGAACATATGGTAAAACTGAGTGCCCTGGTGCTAATCTTGTTCACTCTCTGCTTCTCCCCCCTGATCGGTTCCATCACTGTTTTGTTCCCACTGATATTGTTTATATTTTAAAATTAGATTTTTACTCTGCATTTTGGTGAGGTGCTCAAGGGATGGACCCAGCGCTCTCTCAGGAGCATCTCTTTTGCTCCACAGCCACAACAAAGTGAATAGGCTCGACATAGAGAAGGAGACCAGCTCAAAGTCGCTCTATGAGCATCCACAACTGAGAACTGATTAAAATCACTCTCTTCTAATGTCAGTCCAATACTTTAACCAGCACACCAAAGGAGAGGGTTCTCCTTAAGGTTTATTTTTTTCCAGAGATTTTTGCTCTATTTCTAGAAAACTTTGAGTTTTCTAATAATTTCAGCCGATATTCCCTTTAGGGGCATGGAGTAGACCATTTGGGCTCTTCAAGCACTGGAGATTACTGTTATCTTGGTCCTCTCTGTTTACAAATAGTCCTCAAATTACAACAGTTCGTTTAGGGCCTGAAGTTACAACAGCACTGAAAAAATGACCTTATGACCGTTTCTCACACTTACAACCTTTGTAGCGTCCCCATGGTCAGCAGATCAAAATTCAGATGCTTGGCAGCTGGTTCATATTTATGACGGTTGCAGCATCACGTGATCGCCTCTTGTGAGCTTCTGACAAGCAAAGTCCTTGGGGGAATCCAGATTCACTTAACAACTGTGGCCAGAAAGGTCATAAGTGGGGCAAAGTTCACTTAACAAGTGTCTCACTTAGCCATAGATATTTTGGATTTGATTGTGTCGTTAAATTTAGGACTACCTGTAGTTTGGGCTCCATGCCACAAACTCTATTGTTCTGATGCCCATTTGACACTATGGCTACATACATTAAAGGGGAGACAGTTAGGGACTAGCTGGATGGAATTAGAACTAGCATTAACGTTAGACTATGGCAGGGCTCCTCAAACTTGGCCACTTTAAGACTTGTGGACTTCAACTCCCAGAATTCCCCAGTCAGCCATGCTGGCCAAGTTTGAGGACCCCTGGACTATGGAGATAGTCCTCAGAAGAACCCAAGCCATAACCAAGAAAATAAACTCTTCTGGTAGCAGCAGTGAGAAGGATGTGAGAAAGATCTCTCTCCTGTAGTTGCTTTAAAAGCTCCTGTTTTGAAGATCTGGTTACCTGCAGCTTCATTTCTGGAGCTGAGATGGACAATCTGATGCTTTAAAGCAGCGGTTCACAACCTTTGTGGCTTGGCTGGGAAGGAAGGGACAGGGAACTGGGCTATGCAGGAACTAGACTGCGCAAGAACTGGGCCATGCAAGGCAGAAGGGTACACGCACACATGTGTGAGCAGCTCAATGTACGCAAGCAGTGGGCCAGTGCATGCACATATGCGGCGTGTGCATGCTAGCCCACCACTGGTGTGAGTTGAGCCATGCGTGCGCGCACGCACCAGCCTGCCACTTGCACAGGCTGGTTTTGAATAGGCTACAGCCTGGTAGCGGGCTGTGGCCCTGGGGGTTTGGGACCCCTGCTCTAAATTTCTCATTCGAAATGCTGTCTGCAAAAGCTCTTGAGACCTTAACTATTTGTCCTGTTCCTCAGCCTACTGGTCAGGTGAGAGTAAGAGAAAGACCATAAGATGCTCCGTTCAGTGCTTTCCCCAGCTCTGCCCACCAAGTAGACCTTGAAAGAAAGAAAGTTGCCCAGCAGAGTTGACTTGACAATGGAGTTAAATGTGTGATGCTGTCAACTCAATCTTGTGTATCGTGCTCACTTTACGTTTTCTCTTGATATCTGTATCTTTCTTTTTTTTCCCCCCAGCTGAGACATCAAGGTAGTCCATTTACGGATAAAGATTTCCATGTCCAAGGACTAAGTTATGATGGAGTCCCAGCGGCTGCCATTTCTTTCCTGGAATGGCGACTCCTCAGTGACCTTGACCGTCTGGACAAGAATTACAAGGCTTATAGCATTATCTCAGAATTCTTGCAGCTGGTCTGGGATGATCAGTTTGAACTCAATCCCACCGAAGATGGCCTTCTAAACATGCTGAAAGATACCCGGCTCCAGGTCCAGGGCCTTGTTAACAACTTGACCATCATCATATCTGCCTTGAGGGCCCCACCCTCGCCTGTTACTGACCCTCTCACATTGGACGCAGTTAAAACAAACACTTTTGAGAAAAAAGTTCGGGGATACGTGGTGTGTTCCACGTACAAGCAATGGATTGATCGGACTGTACGAGACTTCAATCTTCTTGTGAAGAAATACCCTTTTTAAGATTTATTCAAAGTGTTTTGGGAGGGGAAGATAATTCTTACACCCCGCTGTTTTTTACACCCCACTGTAGATTTCTCAGGGAATTTAGGTATAGGCAAAAGACAAGCACACCGTAGTGTGATAAATCTGGGAACTTTCTTGTTAAGTTAACCCAGACTTCTGTCCTGGAAAATCCCAGTTTTCAAGCCTTCAGAAGAAACCAAGAATGTTCTGAGCTGATTGGCTTCCTTGCTTGGCTGTGCATGGTGCTGATTGGCTCTCTTGTAATGTTGCCAACAGTCAGTTCTGGAGCATAATTGAAGGCAAGAAGCCAGTTGTGACATGGGGGTTCTTCTCTTACATGCATCTTTTGATTTGATGAGGTTTAGAGATGTCTCTTGCATCTGTTCAGTAGTGCTCTACTGAAGCCCTGTATTTTTCAATGGAAAACACATATTTTAATTCAGCAGAGATCAGGTTTCCAAGGGCTTTTCATTATGAGCATTGCCAGCCTTCTGTAGGGCAAGGATGTTCAAAAGTGTTGGGGACTCCAGTTCCCTGGATTCTCCCTAATGTGGCATTATGGACCCATTTTGGCAGCTCTCTGGATTTACCAATACAGTTAGTCCTTGAATTACGACCACAATAGAGCCCAAAATTTATGTTGCTAAGCGAGACATTTGTGACGTGAGTTTTGCCCCATTTTTACAGCCTTCCTTGCCACATTTGTAATCACTGTAATTGTTAAGTTAGAAACACGGTTGTTAAGTGAAGCTGGCTTCCCCATTGACTTTGTTTGTCAGAATGTCACAAAAAGGTGATCACAGTGACCCTGGGACACTGCAACCGTCATAAATATGAACCAGTTGCTAAGTACCTGAATTTTGATCATATATTCATGGGGATGCTGCAACAGTTGTTAAACGTGAAACGCCATCCTAAATATAAGTCAGTTGTCAAATATCCGAATATAAATCACATGATCATAAGGACTGCAATAGTCATAAGTGTGAAAAATGGTCATAAGTCACTTTTTTCAGCGCTGTTGTAACTTTGAACGGTCACTAAATGAACGGTTGTAAGTTGAGGACTACCTGTACTTACATGTAGTCCTCAACTTTATGACCATAATGGAACATACCCGTTATGGTTGCAAGTCGTGACCCACATGATTGACTTGATTTTGTGACCTATTTTGTGGAAGTCATTAAATGAATGCTACGGTTGTTAAGCCAACCGGTTGTTTGATATGGGCCATTTTTGCCCAAAATTCTGGGTTTGGGCAAAAATGTTATAAAACTTAACTGTACAATTCTGCAAATGGCTATAAATAGGGGCTGATTGCTGAGCACCTCCAATGTGATCATGTGGCCACAGGGGAGAGATTGACATCAGATTTCAGAACCAGGTTGTAAGTATTTCTGGAGAGATCTGTCGTGACTTTGAACGATTGCTAAGCAATTGGTCATAAATCGAGGACTACCTGTATTCTCTGGTTTGTGGCAAATGTGTAACACAGTCTTTCAGTTCTCTCTTATGAGCAGAAAGTTCCTACTGACATTTTCAAACTCTTTGGATGGACAGCAGGGAGAGAGGCTGAGTCTTATTGCTGGCCAAGTTGACATCTGAGGTTACTGTGATGCCAGGCTTTGCTGGGTGCCCACATGGACAGGGATGAAGAAATAACACTAAATAACATTCCTGCACGGGGCAGGAGTCATACCATGTGCTGACAGACCAGATGGAATGCTAATCCCATTTGCTAAAGTCTGGACTACTAAAAGACCTTTGATTTCAGTGGGTTGTAAAAGAATTTGATCATACTGTGTGAATTTCCTTTGCCTTCTCTTTCCCTACTTCAATTCCTTTTGTGTAGGGGGTGCCACAAGAGGAGGGATCCCAAAAGTCAAGATGGTGGCCTCTACCATGTGATCAGAGCCCCATCCTGCCCCTTTGCATGTGAAACATGTTTGAAAAAAGGGGGTGGGACTTAAATCATGTCATTGTGGCTGCCATCTTGACTTTTTTGACCTTTGGGTAGGTCTATGGTCTATGCTATGGATCTTCTCTAGCCGTTCTGGGAGTCCTGTTTGGGGTAAAATGCAAAGACTGTTACACTAATAGTAGTAATAATAATAATAATAATAATAATAATAATAATAATAATTTATATCAGAGATATATTTAGATGCATTATTTATATAGTATTTAATGAAAGACCATGGGAGGAGATTTTTGTCTTTACTTAAGTCTTACTTAAGTCTTTACTTAGTCTAAGATGTTTTGGTGTTTTGGAGAATAGTTACCGCGAGCTAAAATTGCTCCCCCCCCAAAAAAAACCCCAGTTCAGTATGGGCCAGTTTTGCCAAAAATGCTGGGTTTGGGCAAAAATGCTATAAAACTTGACCATACAATTCTGCAAATGGTGTGTGTGATTTTTAAAAAAAGGATGAAAAAATAATGGCAAAATAAATAGTAAAATGAAGATGGTACAAAAAACATGCTTTACATAATAATAATAAAATGAAGATGGTACAAAAAACATGCTTTACATAATAATGGAGTTCAATCATTTGATGTTTGTAGCTATATTTACTGATACCGGATAAGCCTCTCTGCTTGTTTTCAGAGTTGATATGGATTTTATACAAATGTGTAGGACTGAATTCTCCAGAGCAATTTATGCACAGACTTGCTACCTGGTTTTTCTACATTTTAAGACTTTCGCATTTGTAGAGATGAATTGACGTCATGAAATCAGCATTTTTAAGTAACTTAAACAAATAAAATATTCTATTTTTGATACCTCTGCGTCTCCTGCGGAATCTCCTGGTGTTTGTTTGCTACATTTGTACACAAAATTTTATTTTGTATAATAAAAATTCACATCTTAAAATGCATGTTGAGCCTTTCTTGGGAGAAGGTTTGGGCAAACTGAGGTCTTTGGTTAAGGAGAATAATATTGTGGGGACAATCACATCTGGGCTGTAAGTATCTGGATTTCCACTAGGTGGCAACCAAAACTTAGGGTTTTTTAATCATTTTGCTGCCATCTAGAGTTAGTTGGATTTTTGCACCCTAATTTTGTATCCTATTTTTTTTCTTTCTAATGCAATTAGGACAGTGGTGACAAACCTATGGCACACGTGCCAGAGGCGGCACTCGGAGCCCTCTCTGTGGGCACACACATTGTTGCCCCAGCCCTGCCTCCTCCCACGGCCCCCTCACCAGCAGCCCTCCAGAGGAGAGTTGCCCCCGGCACAGCCCACACAATGCTGCGCAGCCAAGGACCTGGTAGCTGGGCAGCGGGGACAAGACTCCGCCCTTGCGCCTCGTCTCACGCAGATGATGCTGCAGAGCACGGACAGAGGGCGTGGCCACCATGGCGCTGCTGGGCTGCCTGGGTAATCTGTGGTGGGCCGTGGAGGTGGTGAGTGGTCCAGCGGGCACGGCGGAGCGGGGATGGGTGGTAGTGGGGGTCACCCAGACAGCTTTCATATCTAAGCTGGGACCAGAACTCACTATCTCTTGGTGATGAACCCAAAGTCATCCAGCCAGCTTTCATGCCTAAGGCAGGACTAGAACTCATAGCCTCCTGGTTTCTAGCTTGGTGCCAAAGAATCTCTCTCTTAGCATCCTAATTCTGGTAGCTAAAATCTCAGCAAAATTAGGCTGAAGATGGTGCTGAAATGATCCTGCAAAATCAACTCTACAGAGAATGTGAAGACTATTTAAGTCTGGGAGTATACATGCCACATTGTGACACAGTATGATTTGTGTAGCTGAAATTTCATGCAGTCCAGTGATGTGTGTTTGTAAATCCTGGTTTATGTTTTTGCATTATGTACCAACTGGGCCAATATCACTTGTTAAACAGGACTTAAAAGAAACTAAGGTTCAGTGTAGTGTCCTATCCAGCTTGAATGAGTTACCATGAAGTTTTTAAGGACTTAGCATAAATGGAATAAAATGAAGTGTGGGCTAGATAGCAGGTAAATTGTTGGTTATTTTGGCTGCGAAAGAGGTCTTAATTGCTCATAAAGCTCATTCATTATTAATTTATTTACTTTTCACATTACTATAACAGTATACTGTGTTGTCCCAGAAATGTGGTGTAACATGTAAGGGGCAAATTAATGGATTAAATCTTCGGCCAGAATTCTGTTTATATTTGGCCAGGAACCAAAACTCAGCCAAAACTAAAAACTGGAAGAAATATTCTTGCACTTTTCGTGTATGTCTTTGCTGCTGCCACACATGAAACCTGTTCTCCTTCCTGCTCCACCATTGCCTGAAAAAAGGGATCTTCAAGTGGTTATCCCAGGATATGAATAGCTGCCTAAAAACAGGGGTTCTCAACCTTGGAAACTTTAAGACTTGTGGACTTCAACTCCCAGAATTCCTCAGCCTGCTGGCTGAAGAATTCTGGGAGTTGAAGTCCACAAGTCTTAAAGTTGCCAAGGTTGAGAACCCCTGGACCCTAAAAGGATCTAGAACAGGGGTAGGCAACCTTGGCTCTTTTATGACTCGGTGGACTTCAACTCCCAGAGTCCACAAGTCATAAAAGAGCCAAGGTTGCCTACCCCTGTTCTAGAATCATAGCTTTGTAGTGTCGGAAGGAAACAGAAAGACCATCTAGTCTAGCCCTCTGTAATATGCAGAAACATCTGTTATGCTCCTGATCCCTTTGCCGCCTGTTTTTACTTGGGAGAGAAATTAACCTGTCCTTTTGAGTGACCACCTGTCAATCAAAAGAGCAAGATTACTTTCTCCCCTCTAAAACTTCTCCAGCGTTTATAAAGCAGCATGCTGCTTTTAATTGATCTTGGTTTTGCTGGCTGATTTACCTTTACCTTTGGCTGTTTTTGTTTTGTTAAGGGTTCTTCAGACTTATTTGACTTAAGCAAGGCTTTTGTGTTTGTTCTTAAAACTGACAGAGTAGATATACATCTGCTGAGTCTTGTTCTTTTTTGTTTGCTTTCTCACTTGCTTGCTTATCTCATGGCTTTCTTCTTTTCTTTCTCCAGCACTACTTAAAGGGCACTTCCTCTACCAGAGGCCAAAAAAACTCATTATCCTTGAAAGAAGCTGCCTCTCGTGCAGTCAAGCTCTGCGTCACTTCTCAGGAAGTGAAAAGGATGCCAATGTCCTGGCAGGCTGCTTACAGAGTTCCCCAACCTTGGAAATAAGACTCTTTTTGTTCTTCATGGGTGTGGGAGAAGAGGAAGGGCACAAACTGCGTCCAATTTTCTTTTCCTCAGAATTCGGTTCCTGGCTCTTGAAATGATAAACAGCAGTGGATCTGATGGGAATGTTTGCATCCCTGATGGATGAAACAGCTGAGTGACGAGCGGAAGCTATGAAGGCTGAGTGTGGTCTCTGAAACGCGGACTTCTAAGTAGTGGCAGCTATGGCATGCTGGGTTTGACTTCTCTCGCTTGCCCTCTTCACAATGGTTCCTTCTTGCCATTCGCCACTTACAGACTTGGCCACTGCTGCCCCCTGATGGGTGAGCCTTGGCACGCTTTATCCCCAGCTCTTCTGGCCTCCGTGGCATGGCGCTAAACTGGAAGGGTGGGGTCCCAACTCTGCCTTTGTGGGCAGAAATTCAACAGGGGCAGCTTTTTGAATCGCTGTCTCTCTTTGATGGGGGAGAGGAAGGCGGTTGTGTGAGACGGCTCAGG